ATTTGCTAGTACACTCCACCCAGTCCAGAACCTGATGCATATGCCGGATGATCACTGTAAGGAACTAAGAGAGATCAGAAGGAACATGATGATGTCAGATCGTGTGTGGAGCTGTTTCGGGCTCACAGCATACAAGATACAAACTAAATATTTTAAAATCTTTACAACTCTACGTAGATGTCTACATTCCATCAGTTTAATAAGCCGGACATGCTCCAGCAAATGGCGACAAGTTTGTCCAGATCCACCCTCAGTGGCGCTGGGTACAGCAGTGAGATTGCCACTTGAGGGGTAGTTGGAGTGTGGGTCATCTTCAACTCAAAAAGCCAACCTCTCGATAGAGTGAATTACAAGCAGACCGCGGATTGAGGGAGCGTGCCCTCGCCTATCCGCTGGTTGATTCTCTATGTTGTTGGGCGTTTGAAAGATCCTAATCAGAAGTGATTAAGAAGGGGAGCTCAAAAATAGGTTCCAGAAAAATTGAAGTATCAGCCACGGAAGGCAGCATGTACATGGGCCGAGTAATCGCTCAGGTAGGATAATGTGGATGCTACTTCGCAAAACATGTTTCATGCCTTCACCATTTTTCTTGGATTTTTAATAACAATAAATGTAAAGTGATTCACTAATTATGGGACAACCTAATACATTAGGTTGGGAAGAAAGTTCTGCGACATTCTTTCAATTTCTTTTTTTTCTGAACAAATCCAATAGACTAACAAATGGTAGAGCATTGTCGAGGCTTTAATCCACGAGGTGGATATAAGTGCTGCAGTAAGTAGTTATCCAAGAAAATTCGAAAAACCTCGACCACTAGTAAATCCACACTCCGAGTCACTGTCTAGTACAAATGTCTCATAACTATGGATTCGTGTCAAAGACCAACACTATCTGCAATAGCTTCAACAGGCATGTCGTTCACCGCTACAACGTGTTTCACCTTTACCAGCGCTTCCGATCTTTTGATATTTTTATAAGAAGCCAGCCAGCGTCCCTCACACTCCATTACAGGTAGCGCTCTTACTATATCCTTCGTTATGGGCACCATTGTGTAGGTAGAGGCCTAGGCTGTGGAATACCAGAAGCTGGCCGAGGCAGTCAAGAGCCCTCGTACCGCGACAATATTCATTTCTTTCATGACATTGCGAATCACCATGATCCGAAATAAGCCCGGTAAGAAATTCTGGAGTTGCGGCAAGATTTTAAATCATCATCTTGATAACGAAATAATTAGACGATCAACTCCAACTCGAAAGTGAGGTCGCCTCCTTTCTCGACCCGCACTCCGCTGGGTTTTGGCAAAGGAGCATCAAGAAATTTTCTGAGCGTTGAAGACAAGTGGTGGACACTCATGGTAGATATAGACCGGTCAGGAGTTGTAAACAAAAAAGATAAATTAAAATCAAAAAATTGAAAAAGTGTTCGCAGGACTTTCTTTCCAACCTAATACATATAATAGAACCCAGGCACTACTAATTGGTGGGTACTTTCGGGTAATTCCAAGGCGCATTCCCACTGGGCTGATAGTGAGTCACACGATCATTACTGCCGCAGAGAAAAAGAACTCTCTGGATTTACTTCATGATCCTTCTTACAGAGACGGGCCGAGATATTGGAATTCGTCAAGTCGACACCTGAACTTCATGACCCAATCCCAGTGGAGTTCATGACACGAGAGGAGCGAGTTGATAACGCTGCTCGCAAGGTGAGTCTCCTCCGCCGTAGATCAAATATTAATGAACTTACTGACGCAGCCGTTTTTAATGCTCCATCGCCTCAAGATTCGAGTAACAGTCAAAGTCTGAACGAATTCGATTGATTCTGCAGATCTATGAAGAAAATGAGTGCGCGGCGCATCCTCACACCCGGCTTGCCAACTCCGAGTTTTCAAAACATTCTTGTTTTTTATCTAGTGCAGAGCGTGAGGCGAAAATTCCTTTTATAAAACCGGTGTCTCAATAAAATTAGTATTTTCAATATCAAAAGCAAGAGTTTCTATAGATCGTGGCAATGACCGACAACTTGGAACAAATTGATGCGTCGGATTTCTTTGGCGAAGGCATGTACTACCAATCGTAAGTTGGTTCCTTGAATAAATAATTGAGTAAATAATAAATCAATT